AGTAACTAACACGTTCGAATACAATTCTTGGTCATTTTTTTAAACTGAATTTTTTACGCAATTTGTGGCTAATACTTCGCATGTCGGCAAACTTGTGTTCCTGATACAGTAATGTTAAATGAGCCCCAAGTGTTGTATTTTTTAGATACGATAAAATTTGACAGAGCCGCACTTTTCTTGGCGTTTTACATATCGATAAAAAATTTTTTGTAGAACGTGATGCTTTCTATTTAATATTGAGCTACCCGTAATACATGTGAAAAAAAAATTGATAACGCATAAATCGCCCATTACATGTTTATCTGAAATAAATCGAAATCTTTATCAGTTAAGTAGGTTGAGTTTTTTCTTAGCGCTTGCAATAAAAAGAATAAGCAAGAAGAAAGCGTCTGCGGCAGAGGGAGACTGTCGGTGGGGAGTTATCGTGTAGAGCTATTAAGTTGTTATCAACATAAGGCGTCTGCGACGGAGGGAGACTGTCGGAAGCCAGTAATGGCGAGTCATCGTGTAGGAATGGCCGGCCTTATTTTGAAGAGTAACTAATTTTACTTTTACTATATTTACTTCGTTTAACAAGATACTGATCTTTTTTCTATTTCATTAGCTCACCAGAAACATTAACATGAACGTACATGTTAACTGGATATTAACTTATATAATGGCCGTCAACCTAGAGGTAGTGCAATACTAGGGACACCTGCGGAAGAAGTGTGGCCTCCTCCAAATTGCAAAACTCAGTCTAATATCGTAAGGGTTCGATCATCGTGCAACAGTGTGCCGCTAGGCGGAAATCACGGAGGAATACGTAACCGTTTATTATGTATAAATAGATAACACCTTACCAGATTTTTATGAACAATATCAAGCACATGTAGGTATCTCAACCCATTTACAATGTCCAGACCCAATTTGTACTTTTCTTTCCATGTTAAATCGGTAAAAAATGCCTTGCTAGATGTTCACATAGATTTCCGCCATCAGCAAATTCAAATACCATGTAATATTGTGGGAAGTGTCTACTCATAAGGCGGAGTAAGTCATAATTCTATAAAGGTTAACGTTGCATTTAAATCGCTTGATATACTGACCTTTGCATAATCCTAGAAATCGGATAATGTTCCACTTCTCATGAGTTTTCAACTAATATTGTTTCTTGAGAAAAATTCAGGTCGTCACACGATACGTTAACGCATCAGGATAATTTGAACTTGCGATATTGCTGTTAAGTACAATTCGTAGTTTATTTTCTCTCATGAGTCAATAGTCAACCGCTCCCGTGATTGTTGACTCGACATCCGCTCTCTACTGCAGACGGACAAAAGTATCAGACCAAGTTTTTTCAAGATTTTACATATTGATTAGCAATTGTTTTAGACTTAATCTTCTGCTTCTGACGATTAATTCTATCTTAAAAAGCTATTAATTACGTGTACTTTTTATGTTGTTATAAATAAATTGCATTTGTTTGTTTACTTAAATCCTGAATTAAACGAGTTCGAACGCGGGCTAGTTATTGGTTTATGGAAAGTAGGGAGGCCATTTGTCGCACTTAAAGTCCGTAATAGGTACAATTGCTCGCCATCAAAAATTGTGGATCAAATGCCAAAAGGACGAAGATAATTGTCAAAAGCTCTGGCGGATTACAAAACAAATAATTGGCCTACTGAGTGTTAAAATTTAGTAAAACTTGATTTTATTACTGATCAGATACTTTTGTTTGGTAGTGTATCCATACTGGCAGAAAAATTTAAAGTTTGTATTCTCTCCAAACATTTTGTTTGGGATTTCTGCCTTTCTTAGTGATTAAAAGTCTTCTCAATTAAAAAATCCGGTCAGTTTTTTTATTTTTATATATTACGTGTATATGCGATCAGCATAATTTTGAACCCCGTACGGGAATGACGAAATCACGCGTCGGTAAGGTGTTTTTTTTTGCACCGGCTGACCCGTTGCAAGGTACACTTTATCGATTCTTACTTTTACGAAACACGGCCTGATAAATAGAGTCCGTATTATTTCATCGACAGTACATTTCACCGACAATTAACTACCAAAAAAGGATAACTTCGAAATAATGTTGGTGAATATTTGTCGGTGAAATGATTGTCGATGAAATGATTGCCTCTCGATAAATACCGATTCCTGGATTTCTACAACACCGACAACAACAAATCGATTTTACTGAGAGTTTGCATCGGGAAGCCGTAAGACTTAGATTCTTTAATCAGAACTGGATCGAAGGACATCCATTGCGTTGCCATACGTTTGCGCGATACCTTTAAGGCAAGTGTTAGTTTTGCAAGTTTCCGCTATAGAGAGCCATGTTAAGAAATAGCGCAATAATCGTTTACACGTAGAACGTGTAAAATATCAAGTACAGTACATTCCGTAAATTCGCCCACATCATCCGTTCACGGTCTGCAACATTCCGATCAATCTTACCAATTAATTTCTTCACAATGTGCAGCAGTTCAATATTTGAGCAATAAGACTTCCCTGCAATGTTTTTATACTCACTTTTCATGTCTTTAGAACCTACTCTCACACACATTATTTATTTATATGTCACCAATAATATATTAATAAATCACAAAAAAGCAAAGTCTTAATTACTACAGACAACTATCATCGAAACAAGGTCGTTTGCAATCCAAATTACCAATTGATACAGTGGACAAGAAAAAAAAAAGCAAGATTTATAACTCTATTATCTTTGATGATGCGCCATCATATATCGAGCACAAATGAAGTATGGCAAATTTCACCAGTGTCTGTGTTTCGCGCGATTGCTTTGACTTCCATTTTACCAAACATCAATGAAAACTCAACATGTCGATTGTCTTGGAGATGTCGAGGAGGAGAAAGGTACTGGTAATAATGGTACATGAGATGTAGAATGCAAAAGGTTAATTATATTGAATTTAAGACATCTTGCACAATTTCAAATCCCTTCCATCTTATTGCCTTTTGTTAATTACTTACAATCTGTAATTTACCCAACAACCTCATACCGGGTTCGTCACAATATACCGCATCATCGCTCTGCGTAACAAATACATGAAACAACATTTCCGTTTGTTGAGGGCTCAAACTCGACGCCTGATAAGAGAACTTCTGATCGACTGCTACTTGCAAGCCACGCTGAGCGAGACGTTTAAAGTGCATTACGAAACCGCGCGGGGTACGACGTTCAACGGGGTCGGACGACTTCCAGACATGATAAGTTTCCACACCGTATGTCCATTTTAGAACGCGTGTCTGGACGAGATTCATGTTTAAGCCTTTGTTAAGAACAAAAGAAAAAGACGTGAATATCGTAAAGTTTGTACATATGAGATTTCTATCACAAGAAAAAGTAGGCCAAAAATTGAAATATCCTATAAAAGGAGTTTCAGTCTCCCTATGACTATTTGATAGGCATTATATAACATTCTGTTTGCTTATCTTCATATGCATTTTCATCAACAAATCACACAGTTATCCTCGACCATATTCTTACCATATGCAAGAGCACCACGCGATACGGCAGCTATCGGATGCCTAGGCACAGCAATAATCCGTACTTGACTACTAAAAGTATCCTTGACTCTATTTTGTAAATATTGATTCTCGGCAAATCCACCAACCATAAATATTGCTTGACACTGGCCATTCGACGCAACAAGTTGAGCCTGAATTAGTTCCAATATCCTATTGACAACAGGATCAAACATACGCTTTACATCTTCGAAACTCAATTCAATTTCCCATTCTGCCGCGTCCATCGCGTCCGCCAATGCTCCTGTTACGTAGTCCATTGCTGCTGGACAAGTTGACTCTATGTCTATCGATCTGGGTTTATATGTGGCAGGATTTCCATTAAACGAGAACTTCACTCTAGAACAGAAATGTTGAACAAGGTATTGCAGTTGCCCGTAGTGAAGTTCGTTGAGTTTTTTGAGGGCAGCAAGACCGAATTTGCCCCCGATGAACAGGACAAATTGTTTGTCGACAAATGATGAGCCACAAAAATCCCCACTCCGGATAGTTATTTCAGAGAGGCGGTTACCTGGGAGGAGCATTCGAGTCGTTAGATCGACTGTTCCACCACCACAGTCGACAATCATGAACGAAGCTATGGCGAAGGAAATTTGGAAATATTAATAATGGATTTTTATAGTAGTTTTGGAAAGGGGTCTTAACAATTTTGAAACGGGTAATTACATAAAGATTCTATTCTTTCCGTACTTACATCCAACAAGCAAATCATACTCTTTCAATGATGAGATACAATGAACTGCAGCAGCCTCAGCTATAAAGGAAATAAAAATACAAAAAGTCATTAGGGTATTGATCCAACTACTCTCTAAACCAACCCCAATTATCCCATACTCTACACGTACGTTCGGTGGTAAACTCTAGATTATCGGCATACACGTCCTCTAAGATTCCTGCTTTAGCGGCGATATCACGCATAATGCCTCTTGTTTCGTCGTTCCACTCGGCCGGAACCGTCATTACAAATAAACATTGTTTTGGGTATTGTATACCTGGCCATCGTGCTGTTATTTTTTCTTTTATGACCTGAGAGGGAAGAGAATGGATTGAGTGAACAAGGTATATACGGAAAAAGTCAGTGATCGTAAATAGAAAGGTGATATGTTTATATTTTCCTCGATTCTCAATCAAACAACACCCACCACACCTCTTTAAAACACTTCCATCTCACTCCTTACTTATTCCATACTTTATTAAACTCTCTCAAATAATCAGCACAAGCTTGATTATACGTTAAGCCATTAGGTAATCTCGGTCGATCTTCCTCACGTATATTGCCCATGTGCAGTTTGAACAGATCTACGTTTATTGGTTTCATTTGATTTTTGGCATCCCTTCTTGTTTTCTTGCGAGGTTCTTGCGCTATTGCCGGGTAACCCCTAGATTATTAGAACGAGTGAAAAGGCGAAGAGCGGCGACGTGGATGTAAAAAGGGTAAGAATATTTGATGAGTGAGATGTCTTGACTGTGGTGCGTGCCTGTAGGAAGCTAGTGCTTGTATACCTAACGTTTGATATATCTCCGTTTAATCATAATAAATCCTCTACATGTGATAAGATCTTACCATTTTATTACATTAAAATTCTCGTCGTAGAGCAATGCTGAATTCGTCTTAAATACTCCTGTTTGCTCTGGCCTGTTGATATTGACGTTAAAATAAGTATTAGGCTAAATTAAAATAATATAGTAAATAATGAATTGGTCACTTGCCATGTGTCATTAGTCACTATATCCGGGTTCTTCTTATTAGCATATGAAAACCCTTGAAAAAGAGTAAGAGTGGGAGAATGGCATTAAAACAAATTCAGACTATTATATCAAACGATCCGAAGGTATGTACGCAGCAATCATTACCTGAAAATGTGGTTCCAAGATCTTTCTTGCATTATATAAGTAACCGAGACATTTATAACCGGTTAACTTTGGCTGTGGACTTTGTGCATTCCAACATCTCCGCCTGAAGACAATTCATACAGTATTTATATACGCCATCTCTCTCTCCACTGAGCTTACCTATAGAAACGACAACTCTGACGTCTCTGGTGATTTCTTGTCCATTCCCATACGACGATCTATGGCCGTAGTCCATTTGCCAACGAATTGTAGCTCTCGATGTCAAATAATTATTCCGAAAATGCTCCTCTATCAATTTTCCTGATTATTCTCATGGTCAGAGCACTTCCCAATTTTTGATAAACAGAGGGCTTGGTTTTTGTGCGACGTGAATTATGTAACAGAAATGCGTGGTATCCGGTCACCAGAATAATAATCGAGAGGCTATATTAATATCAATATCATGTAATTAGTTGGCCGAGACCTTGGTACAGCTTATTGGTGTCTCCATTCCTGTAAAATGCAAGGAACCAAGCAGTCAATATAGAAAATGCGGAATTCTTAACGGGGTATTAGTATGTCTTCGGTACCAGCATCCAAATAGTTGTATACAAAAGTTACGTCTTTGCATAAAATGACTTGACGATAAGCAGAATTTAATTAAGCCTGCAATGTGTTTGCATTCTAGCAATAGAACAGGCTTTACTTTGCGTAAACTTGAGCGTGGAAAGAGTCGCATTAGTATTGAGCTGATATTATTATTGACAATAAGAATTTATTAACAGGATCAGGTGCTTGTATTAATGTCTGAATGTAAGCCTCTTGAGTGACGTGTATACTACTCGTAATCTGATCCTAAATACCCCGAAATTAATCCTAATAAATAAGACACAATTTCCAACAATGCCCCAATCAAAATTCTACAAATGATCAGCGGCGAACTAATCCAACTCCTAATAATCCTTTCGCTCCCATTCCTAACCCGCAAAGGCACGGAATACTTTAATGCTCGTAACAACTCAACCTCATCCAATCAAGTCCGAACTCCCTATATCAATGCTTTACTGATCCTTACTGCCGTTTACAACCTCTACCTGGGGTTTTTCTCTTCGCCTCCAAATATATTCCGTACGTTGAATGCTCCTATCGATACTCCCTCGTTCACATTGCGTGTTCTCTTAGAAAAAAACAAGCAGCCGTTAAGTAGCTATTACATATCTCTATTGGATAAACTACAATCATATGAATCACGGCTTAAATACTTGGCATTTGGAGAGCATGCGTTGATGCAATGCTCATATTGTAGAGACGCCATCGATTACCTCTACTTCATAGTACCCAGTAATGCAAGCTATTATATTCTTATGTTATGCGTTATAGGCATAGTTACAATGACACGAAGCAAAGCACATTGGAGAACGTATGGTGTGATATCATTAGCAGGATGTGGCTTCTTTGAATTGTACACATTTGCATCGACAGATATACGAGACATACAGCCTTCATATCCTTCACTTTTCTTGGCAGTCCATTTCTATCGCCATTTGTTCTTTGCCATTCTTTCGATCCTAGTAATAGCAATCACGCAAGAAGACATTCGTACCGACAGCGAGATTCTCGCTTCCATTGAACGACAACAGCGTTCGATTGGCTATCGCATCAGGGGATCTAGGTTGCAACGTGCCACTACAATGAGGGATCCGGAGCTAAGGAAAACATACGTGAATTATTACAAGGGAAAAGGAGAAGAATATGCAAGGGTGGAGAGCGATACCGAGTACATAAATACGAGAGAGAAGTTGTTAAGTGAACTGAATCTGGAGAGGGATGCCAGAGCCTATGTCGACAGTATTACTAGAATGAAGAACGAAAGTGAACATATTGGTGGTGGTGGTAGCAGCAGTATTGGGCAGGAGAGTAGTTAGCAAGGAAAGTTGGTTGTAGAACGCATTTAATGGTGGACTAATGATGGGACAGTACTATTACAATAACTGATTTCATAATTGAATTTTTAATATTAATAAGTATAGCGGGCTTTCACTGCAAATTTTGTTGGTTGATTAAAAATAATAAATACCGCTGATCTGATGAACATTTAAAGTGAGATCTATAGAAGTGTCTAATATAGCTGGTCAAAAAAGTTTGCAAGATGGTTCGACTTTTCCCGGAATCTAAAATAAGTCTCCGATTTTCCTTTCCTTTGCTTATACCAGCCATCAGTTTAATCTTCCTGCTCGGAGGTATCAATTCTAATAAGCTTGATCAATTAGCGAGCTGTTAACATTCAAGTTTCTGGAATTGAGATTCTGAGTATATTACTACCTTGAAATCCACCTCCAATGGCAACAGATAATCAAGTGCATCTATATATTCGGGATCGTGGTCGGATTATATATAAGCAGTGGCTACACATCGCTGGAATGAGCGCCGCTAGTCTTTTTGGATTTTTTTGCATTCACGATTAATGTTTCTGCACAAAGCCTTACTAACCAAGTTTGAATATTTATTCTAGTTACTCTGCGATACAGTGAATTTTCGATATAGAAGCGGCTCTCGATATAAGAAAGTGGTCGGACCCAACAAATTCGAAAATTCTTGTAACAAGAGTATTGCATTATTTGTCGTAAGCGGGACCAGCAAAAAACTTTGTTATAGGCCATATTTCTTATATCGAAGGGTTATATCGAGAGCCATTTGTAATAACGTTTTTTGTTTGCGAGATTAAATTCCGGATATTTATGACGACCACTGTATTTATCGTGGAGACTAACCTGCTTAAGATTTTGCTGAATAGCTAGCTCTTTTCCTTTTTTTTTTATTTTTAGTTGAGCAGAGAACGCAAGCTCGCGTTGCGAATTCCACAATTCGTGACAATCGAACTGCCATCAAACTTTTACATACGAATGCAGGTGTTATTCCTCCTAATTTTCCGCACAGAATTTCGATGCTATTCAGAATACACAGTCGCCGAAATTACCGCATTACTTGCTGCTTATGGTCAACCGACAAATGACCTTGATACTCGCCTTGCCAAGTATCTCGGAATAAAATCTTTATACTCATTTGTAAGCATTAATCTGATTGGATGGCAGACGACTTGGCGTAGACCTACTTTTTGTAAGAGTACATAAGGTAGAAAAGCTGTATTATTAGTATGGTGATTCATTTATTGTGGGAGCTGATGCTGAAATCCGTGGAATCAAATTCTTTTTTAAGATTTCTAGACCTTCAGAACAATGATATAGGAAGTACAGGAGCAACAGCTTTGGCAAAGGCTCTGGAATTAAATTGAAACCAACCAATGGGGTTAGAGAATAAAATCTGATCAACCAATGAAAGGTCATATTTTCAGCTTCAGCCAGATTTCGGCATCAGCCGTGACATTTATTATCGTTATTATTTTATTTTTATCATGGTTTTTTAATAAATCCAACCAATAGTATTGCTGACTTTTTCAACCAATCATAAAGAAAGCCGCTACAATGTTCCCGCCAAGTTTATTATAATATCAAACGTGTATAGTTTTCCTCCACACTTCTGTATACTTTGTGTCGAGATGTCAAGTAAGTATGATAATGATATAAACCACTATCATTCTCATGCTAAATATTGGTACCTCTGTCTGCTTACTGCATACAAGCATTATTGCCAACACTCGCTCATTCTCCCGTCTATAGCACAGGACGTTTCATCAGCGCTTGAAATTTATGACGACGACAATGAACGACGTAGCACTGATGCATGCACAAGCTCAACACATATGGTGCCGCACAACGCAAAACTTCAAAAGCACCTAAGACAAGAGATCCTGACCATACAGAATGATAGAGATCTGTCTGCTGGAGAAAAAGCAAAAAAAGTTCAGGTATGTTGGAGACCAAACGATAATCACGCTGGTGTATTATGATTTGCCCAGAATTAAAACGGTTGAATATCATTTGTAACATTATTCGATCAACTTAATAACCGTAACAATATGATCTGTCCTTTTGTCAATCCAATTTTAACTCTGACATTAACCTTCATGTGCAGGAGCTAATGATGTCAAATTGGAAAGCCTTATCAAAGAAATCAACAAGAGTTGTATCCAATCGACTCACTGAAGATGACGTGGCGTCCACTTATGTAAGCATGCAGACGAGAATAAGCATAGGGTGCAAGACGCGAATGGTTATTCATTCTCAATGGCTATTAATTCTCAATGGTTATTAATTCTCAATGGTTATTCATTCTCAGTGGTTATTCATTCTCAATGGTTCTTATCATTCTTACCCTTAGAACCCTGATAAAAAAGTTCTAGGCTGTGCACACTATCAAAGAGCTGCTAAGCTTCAAGCTTCATGCTGTGGAGGATGGTTCACATGTCGATTCTGTCATGACGAAGCATGCGATCACCAGATTAACAGGTAACAGATACCACACCTATACGACAAATATATTTGTTGAAGGCTCCTAACGTACATATGACCAACGTGTAACAATCTGTTTTATTTTATGTGTAAAACACTGCAGGCATGCAACACAAAAAATGCTTTGCATGTATTGTTCAGAAATCCAACCCCCATCCCGCGTCTGCCGTGCCTGTAATCGCCACCTGGCGCGTTATTTTTGCTCCATATGCAATTTTTGGGATAACGATGCTTCCAAGCAGATCTACCACTGTGACAAATGTGGAATCTGCCGCATCGGAGAAGGATTGGGTGTGGATTTCTTTCATTGTGATGTATGTAACTGTTGTTTGGAATTGAGGATGAAAAACAATCATAGGTGTATCGAATCGAATTTGCAGCGGGATTGCCCAATCTGTGGGGAGTTTTTGTTTACCTCTACCTTGAAATGCATGTATTTGGTACGTATGAAGAATGCGAAGGAATTGAGGGTGGAGGGAATTGGTACTGAACTAAAAATACATACCCATATCTTAGTGACAACTCATAGAAATTGGCTAAATTATTGCTCTTGTACTCACCTTAATATTTCACTTTGCCACTTTAATTAGCCTTGTGGCCACATAATGCACAACAAATGTTACTCTGAATACATAAGCAGCGCATACCAATGCCCAACTTGTTGGAAATCACTCGCAAACATGCGTCCATACTACGATCGTATCGACATGATTGTCTCGCAGCAGTCGATGCCCCCAGAATATGATAACTATATTTCACTTATTCTTTGCAATGACTGTGAGAAAAAGTCAAACGTGAAGTATCACTTTCTGTATCATAAATGCCCCTTCTGTAAGGGATACAATACGCGGGTCTTGGAGACAGAAGAAAGGGTTGGGATGGCACTGGATGAGCAAGAGGATGAAGAGGAGGAAATAGGGGAAGAGCTGAAGATAATGGAGAATGGCGGTGAAGTGAGGGGGGTTGAGATTGGGATTAGAGTTGGAACGAGAGGGGGGATGGCAGAAGTAAATTTGACGGATGTACCGGATACAAGTAGCTCATCAACACCTTCAAGCACGACTCCATTATCGTCGACCGCTTCTTTGTCACAAAGTACTTCTCCATTGTCTACCTCCTCTTCACCCCCTATATCATCACCCTCTCATTCTCAACATCATCATTACCAATATCGGCATTATAATCAACAACAATCATCATCAACAACTATTCCACAGGTATGTCGTAATGACTTTTATTACTAATAACAGAGTTCATCGCTGATATTTGGGTGTCGAATAAATGGCCCGGCACAAAGTTACTAATACTTTATGCTTTAAATTCAGGGACGACGGCGGAGGAGAGGACGAAACAACGGTGGAAGCGTTACAGAGAGTGCAAGGGTGAATAGTAATGCAACGGGGAGAAGGAGAGAGAGTCAATAAAGGTGAATAGAAAGCACATCATTAGTTTATTAACTAATTTATGATGGAACAACTCAAAGCGTAACTCTTTCATCATCGAACATCATGAGTACACGAATAATGCCCATGTATGATACCTCGGAAATTTAATAATAAAAATTTAAATAATCTGATTTTTGAGAAATGAGACAGCCAGGAGAAGATGCTTCATATGCAAAGAGAGTGTAAGATCCATGCAAAGATCATGAGGTCCCACATACCATGGAGGATGTAAGGTAATCTATGAAGAAGAGAAGAAAGGCAGAGATTGAAGGAATCAAGAAAATTATACACGATACGGGAAACGGAGAAGACGAATACACTGAACCTACCATATGAGACCCAGTCTAACACGTCATCAATTACATCCAAACGTTGCAATGAACTTGCTAAAGCAAATTAGAAACTCTACAATGAATGCGTCACCCACAAAAGCATACGCTGAGTAGATAAAATTAGCAGACGCGATAGAATTACAAAAAATTCCATCGTTAAAGGGTGCGCTGATTTACAACTTAATAGTATATTTAATAGTTTAATAGTCAAATATTGTGATCAGTAGTGGAATATACCAATACAATTTACAAATTAAAATTAAAAATACTCATTCAAAAAAAATCGGAAATAGTTCCAAACCGACGAATCGAAGTAATATTGTTCATCTTTATTATACTCATTTGATTAAATGGGGTTGTGTCAGTTGTTTCTCTCCTTTCATAAGTTGCTAGCAGCGGGGCTATTGCTGAAAGAGTCGTTTCTTTTAAATCAATCCCGAAAGGGATGACCCAAAAGCTAACCATAAACTATAAGGTATTTTTTTACATGTAATAGTATCGCTTAATTGTAGGTTAGTAACCCAAAGTAGTGAATATGTATTCCAGCGATAAGGAACACGTAGCCGTCGTCAACATGAACTATTTAAAGGGGGCACATAAGTAAGACCGTGTTATATTCACTGTTAATCACATGACAAATATTGGTGTAAAATTACCTTCACTTTATTATTGAAATTGAGTGCCAACAACGATATAACATTCTTTAAAGGGTTAGCGTTAAAGGTAACAAGCTGTCCGTGCAAAAAGCAGTTTGAAAAAGAATTAAAGCTTTTTTTTTTTTTTGGCAAAACTCAAAGAATAGTCGGACATGTTACCTAAAGTTCGGAAAGAGACTAACTTGCTTACTTATTCAAATAAACTGTTCTGATGCATTACCAATACTTGTACAAAAGTGTCAGGACTTTTAAATATCGAAATTTAATATGCTATATTTACATGTTATAGTCGATAGAATTTGATCAATTTTACACGTCATAAAATAAATTAACAATTTTAAATATTCAGATTATCCGCCATTTAATATTAAGTAATACAGATACTGCAAAACCAAATATATCTAGAGCTCCTGTTTTGAATAGAAAAGTTTTACATTAGCAAATTCGAAAACAAGCTATTAATATTAATGACAACAATAATTAATAGTGAAAAATTAAGAATAGATTTAATTAAAGAAACACGACTACAACTTTATTAAAAAGAGTTTGTGCAGGTTAAAAAAATTTTGTTGACTGTATTCAAGCCTTTTCTTAATATTAACAACAACAAAACCAACCTGCCTCATTTGAGTAAAAAGCAGAAAATGTTTATTTGGAGTAATAAAAGCCACTTTAAATAATAATACAGGCCATGTTTAAGAATTTATGAAACGAGGTTAATATGGGAATATGGTTCCTTATTAGTATTAACAGTGGTAATTTGATTATATGGGCTCTTTATCTTTTCTGGCAAAGAGCTTAATTCTATTAATATAGTTAGAGCCGTATTTGTTCAGGATGATAATGCAACATTTTATATGGCAAAGTTAAAGAGTTGGTTGCCCGACTAAAGGATACATTAAAACATTTACCAAAGAAAAAAACAACAACTCATAATTGATATTGTTCAATAAACAAATGTACTAGTAAAGTTTAAATGGGTTTTCTAAGGCATGTTAAATAAGTAGAACACATATTTAGTAGGGCTGTCCCAACAAAATATTAACTATGTGCAAAATGTTAGGGTGATAGCCATTAATATTTCAGCCTCATTGAGTATGTAACAGGTAACAATTCAGAAAATTAACATAGATGTTTGATGCTTTTGTCCATTTACGAATAATATTTCGTCATCTAAAATTTGTAAGCACTCAATTATATTTGCATGGGCCAAACAACATAAAATAAAATAATAGCAAGATAACAAACAGAAAGTACTAGTATACAGTCCTACCCCATTTGTATCCCATTCAGATATATCCATGGTCCCGATTTCCCATGCCTATAATAATCTATTATGATCGTGCCTCGTTTATATCGCTTATTACTATCCCCTATGACACTTGTATTACACAAAATATCACGCCACTTTTAATAAGCGCAAATCATGCTTGGGCGATTTAGTAGAAAAGTCAAAAACGCCAAACTTTATTAACAGAATTTATCAACCAATAAAATTGCATGCTTTAAATAACGTTACACACACACATATACCTCAATTGTATCCCACCTCGAAATATCCCCGAAAAAGCTCCGTCCCAAAGCGGGGATATAAACGAGGTAGGACTGTATTAATATACTCAATACATTGATAATAACAATGGTGTCAAAGATAACTAAATTAACATATCTATGGTAAATCTATTTTATTAATAATAATTGTGTTAACTACAAAAATGTGCAATATTTACAATGTCATAGTACATGTACGAGGCATTGTTTAAATTGGAGCACATGAAAGACTGCCTTTTGATATACAGTAGAAGACGTGAGTATTTCTAAAAATAAATTGCCACAGGTTTCAGATTTGTTTTTTGAATTCTATTCAATAACCAAGCTTTTCCTTTTTTGACACACACAACAGTATCGGTATTCCTAATCATAATCGCCCCCTGTAGCACATGAACTTTATCTGCACTGTTTGATGATTCGGTCAAAGTCGACTTAGTTAATATTCCTGTATATATATTATTTACTTGTGCAGGTGCTCTTGGAGCTTCAGGGCGGGGTTATGCGACACAAAACTGCAAAACTTCTCATTGGGCTGAAAAGCGTGCGAACATAGAGTAGAGCGCCCGCCTTTTCGCATGCTCCAATCGGTCTATTCGAACTGTTTTCCAAGACTGATGGAACCACTCCACCTGTGTCAATCAGCTATAAAACTGCGAGTTACGTGTAGTTGTAATCAAGAGTTTGGTTACTTCATTACGAACATATAAGTTTAGGAGTCTTTGCTGATTTTAAGGTAAATCTCCCGGATTGGGTTAGTTATTTTGACTACCTTTACAAGTAATAATCAACATTCTGCTTATGGCCTACCGTAAATGGATGTCATGACATCTTGTTCGACTTTTTTTGCATCGTGTGTTTTCAGTTTATGGGCAATGAAGAGCAATTAGTACTAGGACATGTTAAGGTCAGTATTGTGATTTTTTTTTTTTTCAGATTATAAAAAATAACGTTAGTAGTCTTTCACATCATGAGATAGCATTAATATTCTCGTTTGACCTAGTTACATTGGCTTGAAAATTCACATATAAAAATTAACAACAAGGTCGTCATACTATAACTTTAATTATATTGTATAGCATGTTTATTATCTATCAATCCATAAAGTCATCCGTGTGGAATTTGATATATGTTGCAGTTGATAAAAATCTAATATAACAAAAGCAAATAATTAGCTATATTGATATCCAAAGTGAGGCTTAAGGGTGTAATATTAATATTAGGAAAGTTTTATTGTAACTATTTAAACTTAGAATTTGGAAGCAATGAAATCTTAATATTGATAAAACAACTCAGATATTAGGGGCTTGAAGCATTTGTCACACGGTTGTAAACTTGTACAATGTGTGACAACTACAATTTACTAACCTAAATATATCAAGAATTGTTGTTCAAGATTTTTACTCTTCGCTCTTGGACAGTGTGCAGACTATAGTAGCTTGCTAGTAAGGTGTGCGTACAATATGTCCGTAATATGTATACGTTTAAGCAAAAAAGGGGGGTTCTTTATCCCGTAAAATCGAACTAAATAGAAGTTGGCTACTGGGAACAGCAAAGTCCAAACTGGCAAGTTAAACAGACTATTGTAAAATGTCCAGGATATATACCGTAAGCATTAGTTGTTATCTAGCATGTAATCGGTTGTACAATGGACATAAGTTTGCAGCCTAGCGTTTGTCTAGATTCTCGCAAAATCCCGTGTGCCTAGATTCTCGCAAAATCCCGTGTGCAGTATGCAACATCTCCGTAACAGTACAACAAACCGCCATCTACTTTCGTTAAAGTCCGAGACGAGCCTTCCGTTGAGGTCCAATATTTTGGGGCATTGCGATTTCGTCCATAGAACGCTAATGCAGATCTAACGAAGTGTGGGCAATAAAAAAAATTTTATTTGTGACGCACAAACACACATGATCATTAAGTAATATATTCGTGCATGTGGCAGACTATGTTTTTTGATAATCAGAAGACTAGGGAAAACCCAATGGTTTTACGTCCACGTGAATGTGAAAGAATTTTTTGTAACACAAAAGGGAAGAAAGAAAGAAAGAACATCCTGCATTTCTTTGTGTGATGGTTAAACATTCTCCCGTTCGTACCACCTAACTTTAAAAGTGCTAGATATTCACGCTCACACACTTCTATATATCATTGGCCATCCGGTCAGCTGGTATACATCTTAATAGCAGTCCGTCGAGATTGTGCTGTTCCCTGCACTTGGCGCAATGCATTATCGTTTTTAATAGAGTAGACTCCTAATAATAAAGCAAGAGCATTCATATCTATGCGTATAATTAACTCTGCCATATGCTCTCGATACAAAAGCTTGTGGGCAGCCGCAAACGGTAAATATCTGATATTCGTCCGAACCGAGAAAGTTCATTCTAATTATATACCATATATGATGTATTGAAAAAGCCCCTTAAATTCTATTACAAGAAAGACAATACTAAAGTGGTCTTATCTGCTTTATTGTTAACGGCAATACAAATTGTGCTACAGTGCACCGTAAAATAAAATGTCCGGCATCCCTTTACCGTCCTGCTGTATGAAGAAGGGGCTCACGCGTGCCACTTGTTGAAAATCAAATATCGGCGAGCGCTATAACCCGCTACCACTACTGCTACGCAGGCTACGATTTATGACGCTGGCAAAACAAGCAAGATTTGGTACCTTGATTTATATGTTGTAGTATAATCAGCAAATTTTGCTCTTGTTCAAGTAACCCCTTATTACATCGTTAGTATTGAAGGATTAAAAAAGTCACTCCAGATGCAGTTCGCTATATTTTTGGCATGTGTTTTGCTCTCTTATCAGATAAAGTTATTTTATCCATTGTTGAGAAGGTTTCGGTGTTTGTCTGTGGAAATCTGTAACCCACCAATAACATCAAGGTTAATTTTACTTATCCCATCTGGCGAAACCATATTTCTATCATAATGCGATTCATTCAAGGCGCTAGTTTCACAAAATTGATCATAACCGGATATTACTATGGGAACGATGTAATATACAACCAGTGGATGCGTCATTGGAATGCCGCTCGCTGTTATTGACTAAAACAAACCTATGACTATGCTAAACAGAATAGGCAAAACTTTAATAGTCATGTGAACAGTTTTTTTTATATAACGGCGTTGTATCTGTGGCTACATGGTAATTATAAACTCTTGTCCTTATACTCTTGCGCTTTTGTCAATTGTTAACACTGACGAGTCTCTATTGTCTTTATAGACACAAAGTCTCTCAAAAATACGAATTGCTGCTGCAACTTACTTGGAAGTTATGCACCGTAAGTATACGCTCTTTTTTATTAGTATGTCGACGAACTATATTCTATAAAACATTGCGTATTAAAAATACTTGGCATTATAAATTAGCTTTGACTATGTAATATTCGCGCATTAATTATTCTAGTCCATTACAATTGTTTGTTAAGCCCTTTTCCCCGTTGTAGCAGTTTTGTCGCTTTACTGATTTTATGTTCTAATTGATTGTATACTTTATTTGCTTTATAATACAGTCTTTCGATTTTCAGATTACGCCCACAATGAAGACTTTGTGCAAAAAATAAAGACGCTGCTCGAGTCGTTCAACAAACTGCGGGAAGAAGACTTTGATAAAATATACGAGCAGTACATACGTCCAGTAGTCAACGTGACCAAGTTCGACTACAAACTCACACAAGTTGCATTTGCCGCATTATGTCTTCACGTGGCATTACTCGGGTCAGCATCATATACGGAGAAACATGGACCTTATGTTGCGTCGAAAATAGCTACTTGGATAATCAATGATGCGAAATTAAAAGTCCTCACCCATATAATTCGTTTGCTCAACATTGCAGAGTGCGGATGGGACATAGACTACTCGATAAAGACAATCGAAGAGATAGTGGAAACTATATCTTTACCCAGCACTATAGCATCATGGAATGGTACTATCTCTGGTGTAAATACGGATAATTATTCATTGACAACTACAAAGGTTGTTTTCCTAGACTTTCTGAATGTAGTCTGCGCTCACTGTTCACTTGAAGGAGCAAGACGGTTAGTAAAGTTTTTTGTACGTTGTTATATATCGAGCTATTTTCATGACAAAGAAGACAATGGGTATAATTTGACAAAAGTATGTGACGAAATAGTAAAAAGCCCAAAGTTTTACAAATTTCCTTACATCAAAGACGTATTTTTCGACCTTTGTACGGAAGAGCTCTTGTTTATTGGACCACGAACTACCGACACGCCTTCTGCTCAGTTCAACAAAACCTTGAAAATTTTTGAAATACTAAAAAACTCTTGGTATCAAACTATTCCACACGCAGCTCACCTATTTACGCCTACAAAAGACCCAGCTGTCGATAACGACTATATTACGGATTCTAGTTTCGGTTCTGATTCCGATTCTGATCTCGACATTCAAAATTCGGACTACGAGTTTTCCAGCCATATATACAGTAGCGCACGGGCCCTAAGAAATAGGATGAGAGCAATAATTGATCTTATTGGAACCATTCCAGCGGATCACTTTAACGACAGGCAAAAAGACGGGTTAATTCTCCAGACAATGCTTGTTGAAAAAATAGTCGACAAAAAAGGACTCGATATCTCTGATACAATGCAAGTTTGCAGAAGGTTCATCTATACTATGATGAACGGCGGTAGCAAGGGCATGTTGATTTATCATCCAGCGTATTACATGTGGTGGATCACAAATGCGATATCTCAAGATGGAAAAATGCAACAGTACACCAAGTCTCCCAAATATGTCGCGTATGAAAAAGAAATATCGAATCAAATGGCCGACATTATCGAAAAAACTGTAAAGGTAGCGCAAATGTCGATGCAATTTTTGTTCCAAAACCCATCATCAGCGTATACTTTGCAGTATGTGGATACAATAAGTGAATTTCTGAGAAATTTGCCAACTCCACTTTTATCGGCCGGTAAATTTGCCGAATGGATGGACGATACCGTAGAAAACCTTGAATATCAATGGTGTCTGCGACTCATTGCTGACTTTTTAGAGGATGGCATTCAATGTTACAATGACAGTGAATCGCTGGTAACATTGTCACTTTTTGTCAAAGATCAATTAAATATAGCGTTTGATTGCTTGACTAGTAAACAATATACAGAATTTCTGATCGACAAGTTTGAAGAAGTTGAACTTCTTCTGCGAACTCTCAAGATTGTTGTCACTTATATTAAACGTATGCCAGACATTGCGGCAAAAAGAGACATTCTTGATCATATAAATGAAAAGCTAAACAGACTTGCTACAACAGTTTTAATCATAATGGATTGCACAGACGATATCAGCCAGCGTGTAGTAGAAAATGTATTGACAGTCTTTTCCATATCAGTTGATTGTGTTCAGTTCTCAAATAGCGAAACAGCCAGCGCGTGGAAATTATTGCTAATGTTCTGTGAGTTGCTCTACCTACTAATGAATCGCACATCAACGGAAGTTCAGTCAGCCGAACTGATGGTCAGCAGTTTTATCGGTACGTTGACAAGAAATCAATTCGAATACGTTTACAAAGGCATGATCAATATAATCAATGACAAAATCAAGGAAAATGCAACCAACGATCTCAACATTCTCGTCAAGTTAATCGATTGCATGATTAGGAGAAAAGACTTTAACGAATCGATAAAGGAAAATCTGACGGCAGTGATCGGTACTTTGTGCAATGCTGGCTACCGTCGAATAACGCAAAACACCTTGATTCGCTTGATGAATTTAATCGCATATATCTGTAGTCTGAGAGACTTTAAGATACAATTGGTACATGTCGACGATATAATCACGATGCTTCACGCTCTTCTCTGTAATTACGAGTCTGACAATCAGACCGAATCAGCGTCGATATTTATCGAAGCCTGCAGATTGCTTCTCATACTGGTCACCTTGCACAGTTTGGAATTGAAAAAGTCGGGAGCGATTCGTCTGGTTGCACCAACGACCTATATTCTGTTGTTGCTGCTGAAGGGTCCACAAACCGGTGGTCACGCCTTGACGCCCAAGTTCGCCATACATTCGGTGGACAAGAAAACTCGTGGAACAATGGCGTATCAATTTCGAAGACTCCTTGAGGCGGTCTCGCATAATCTGCGCTTCACCATAATTACAGAGGATGTTCCGCTCATCCTTTCGGAATACATCAGCCTGCTGCTTGTTGAAGAAAGGAAAAGTGTCAAAGATATCTTGAGGCCTGGCACATTTGCGCTGTTTGATCTGTGTGATACAAATGAAGTCGAGATAACTATGGGTTATCTAAGCAAAATTGGAGAGGAACTGTTCGGAGAATTGTGGAATGCATACAATGCGGCGAAGATTAATATGTGAACAATATTTCCATATGCGAAACATACAGTGCCACAAAGGCAAATATTGTTGCTAACGCGAATTGCAATTACGCCATTATTTGGTTATACAGCTTTTTCGCTTAATATAGATTTTTAAGTACTTATTTATCATTTGTTTAGACTAGATCTTGTTTAAGAGACTGCTTTAAACAAGTAGTATTTAGAATATAATAAATTTCATCGTTCGTATATTGATTGTCAGGCTGGGATGCTTTTGAAAAAAAGGGGGAGGTGGGACACAATATCTAAAGGCAAGCAGTCTCTATAAGATTATGTATAATAAGCAACCATTATTTAAAATAAAGCCGATATGTATGCCCGTTGGCGTTCCAAATGTGCCTTTCTCTCCGATGATGCTTACCCTAACATGGTTGCGGCACCCGCCATATCCATATATCATGGTGAGAAATAACTAACATATAAATAGCAGGCTTGCCTAACCTTAACCATAACCCAAACCGAGTTTGCTGGATTTACAATTTTTCATAACAGTAGGCTTTACTTCATTTATGATAAAGGTGGTATACACGTTTGTTAACGTTGTGCTTGAAGATAATTATTCACAAAGAACCCTCCATAAATGCATTTAGAGAGGGTAAGAATTTGATTGGCTGCACGTGAAATTAGGAAATAACTAAATATTATTGGTTGTTTATTGTTCCATCGTAGTCTGTCTCATTGCAGTCGTCTTTAGATTAATATATTTGTCAAGAGCTTTGATATGTTTAAATAGTTCCTCAGCATCGTTTTGTTGTAAAAAATTATAAACTATTTCTAAACCTTTTGAAGCCTCGTTAACACTGTCATCGGCTTCTTCACTATTGCTATCAATAGGTAAATCTGACTGCTGCCTATATAATTCAACAAGTTCTTCGTTGTCAGGAACTACATAAACCTCCTCCTCTTCTGGGTTATTTAGAAATTCTTCAATCGACATAGTATCGGGAAGGTTGAGGGATGTAAGCATCGGGCACGGTAATTTATTTATTTGGTCTTTGTCTACAATCGTGGGGTACGTGGGGTACAAATTTATTAACACTATCGATATCACGTGAAATCACGGGCGTGCATTTATGGAGGGTGTGCATTTATGGAGGGTGTGCATTTATGCAATCGAACGAAAGTCTTCAGAGAAAAGACGCGTACGAAAACTATCACTATGTTGTATTATATAATTACTGATTCGTGATACGAGAGATAAAATCAAATTCTACGAAATTTTACTATCCTGTATAATGTCAAAATAATATTGTACGAAATTAAACGGCAAAAAATATTTTATTCGAACAGATGACTATCAAAAATGCTGGGTATCAGTGAAAACGTGACTTTACTGCGGATATATCAAAAACGGAACTTAAATTGCCGACCTATCAAAAACGAAACTTCCGCCTGAGAGTCATTTGTTATAACCCGATTTAAAGGTTGTCCGACTTACGGGTTTATCGCGATTATATATATTAACATGTGTTACGGCGAGCTGATCTGATGAAGCAGATAATTAAGTCACATGACAAAATCTTCCTCCGCAGTTAAACAAACCCATGGCCGACACGGAAATTTTGCGACGACGCCAATTTAGAGCGCAGCAACATGTCGCGAAATAAGTGACAGCACAAACGCTAAAATTAATTGTTCTTCATAGTATAATAATTAAGAAACGTGCCGTTTTTCTTGCGACGCAAAAGATATATAAATAGCTCTTCCTCCATCGTCAAATCTTCATGTTTTATGTTCGAACGTTGAAATCATTGTAAAATAAATAATACTCCTGATATACTTCCGAAATCCTTATTTATAAATATACATAATTTAATATTCTATCGTCGAAATAATTGATTATTAGACTGGGCACTCCAATAAACGGCTGTAACGGAATAGCATTGATTTGATCAAGCTAGTAAGCTGTCCGCTGATCAATTACGTGAATAACGGAACGAGAGTTTATAATTAATTATCGAGACGATCATTGTTTACTTAGTTAGTAAAGACAAGTAACAGATATCGACTAGTCGACAAACAAATCGAAGATAGTCCTGCTTAATTTTAATAGTATTATTCCCTTCGATTCTTTAATAGAATAGTTGTTGTTATTATTCTATTAGAGATATCCTTATTTGTATTCACGTGTGTTTAAAACTCGAATAGGGGGTGAAAAGCGCGCAAAACTAATTAAGGTCACTTGTAGGCTTAATTCAGTCTTAATTGTACAACTATCGTAGTAAGGGCGATAGTACGAGAGTATGGTAACGTCCCCCGGTCGGCAAACACACCTACTTATCGAATTTTTAATATTGAAAAAAAAAACTTTGTATTAATAAATTGCTTTAACTTCTCATAATTTTTGGCATCCTTCTCTCAACATTATATTTGGGGTAGACTGCAACAAAACCAGACAAAGTGAACATTTGACCATGTGCACTGAAAAGGCTGGTGTGGTTGGAAAATCAACTAATTTAGCAGATGACATTTTGGTAAGGCTTTGCTCAATTTATAGCTGTGGCTCATGTACCAATGCAGACTATTTTTGATATTTTAGACCTATTGCGACATTGTGTATAAGTGAGTGCAACTGGCATCCATGTATAAAAGCAAAATGAATTCACATTCACCAAACAAAAACACTTGCATCAACAAAATATACGTCAAATTCGTACGCATGTAGCGAAAATTTTTACTAATGCTCGCAATATCATTTTACATATATTTTTGTAACTTTATTGATTTATCTGTTTAATGAAACGACTTAAGTCTAACAGTTTTGTCGATTTTTTCTTTAACTTTTGCTTTTCTGTTCCAGATGTGGTCATGCTTAGGTAAAGCGTGTTGTGCTTTTGTAGCAAGATGTGTCTGTACAAAGGAAAGCGAAAAGTTCGTGATCGGTCGTTAGTGTTCTGGCGTTTCCCTTTTTCCTACGCAATTTACCTCTAAATTTGGCCCAGGTATATAGACATTATTACATAAGGCCTTTCAGAATCTGGGATGGCGAAAGTGGAGTACGTGGAATCTGATCATTTGGTGAATCAGTAACATGACTGTCTGTGACGTACTTTATCAGCTTCTGGTTACGTACTCGCAGTTTGAACGTATTTCGAGCAAAATTCCTCACGTGTCTCAGTGATATTACGACGAGTTCGAATCCATTTTTTCATGGTAGCGATGGTAAGCAAAGCAAAGCATTTCTTCACCGAAAGTTGTCTGATATGTATTAAGCCAGCGTTTTTCGAATAGCTCTGGATGCCTATTTCGCTAAACACTTGGTCGTATACCGACTTTCTTCTCGCGAATAGGAACACCATCGTAACCCATTGCCCTATACGGACGACTAGACGGTGCATGGGTTAATCGTTTTCTAAAAAAGCTGGGCAATTGGAGAATATGAACGGGTAAGTATTCCAACTTTAGGCGTGGAAGGGTCCTGACAGGTATTATCTGAATCCGGATGAAGATAAAGACGATTTATTTTTCAAACATATTAGTATTAGATAGAACACTATTAATAACTTTGTTACATTTTTTAAAGAAGTCGACTGTTTAAAGACTTACAGAGTGGAGCATCAGAAAGAGCTATTTGCATGGCTTTCGTTTCCCTTGCATTGCATTGAGATTACTGTTATTCTTATGTGTCTTGGAATCTCCGTGTTAACAACTCATTAGTTGGTCTCCCTACTTCATTGTTACTAATGCCTTTTTTTTCAATTCTACAATGGAAAAATAAAGATGCATTTACTACTGATGTATTGAAACCATATCTGAGCTATTCCATAGCCAACATTGGTTATATGTTCAATGCTTTCCCTATCTAGCGATTGCGTTTACTTATTTACTTAAATGTCTCCTAACCCGTAAATTGAGATAATGACATTCTTTATAATTATTGGACCCTATACTAACACCAATATCCTCGGTGCATAGAATTAGGATAACAATAATAAACGAATGATTTATCAAAAGCAGATAATCAAGGACCAGCTGTCTTAGCTATATAACAATAAGACTTTTACTATTTTGATATGAGTGTAATCAATTCATTCGCGATGTTCCACTTTTACGTTTTGCGCCGTAAATTTTACAACACTCTTAATCGTATGATTTTGATGGCGTTCTAATTCAATAGAATCATTGGCAATTAATGATCGTACGAGTTGTGGTCGGCCAATTGAAATCAATCACGTCCAGCAAAAGGAGTGGAGTTTTTTTAAGAACGACCCAACAATCATAAGAGACGTAAATAGTAGAGTAAATAAAAATAGTTCACAAGAAGAATATAGTGGAATTTATAATGTGCAACTTGAAAGATTTAGATGTTCCAACGCTGGCTTGGAAGTTTGCGTGAAATCGAAAGAAGATTTTATTACTGAATAAACATTTAATAACTACACGTATATGGCAGACATTAACAATAATTAGAAAAAGAAATTCCACCAAGACATAGCAAATAGTTTAAGTAAACCAGTTACTATTTACTAGTGGCAAATAAATAAATAATTTTAATGCCGTGGCATGACTATTAACGTTGTATCAGATAGAAAGAAAATTAAAAATGTCCAAAGTGGCTGTTAAGTGATCGGTAATAACCAACTATAACCAAAAACTTAACCTATAACACATCAGTTAACCGAACTAAATAATGTCAACCCAAATTAAATAGACTAAGACAGCGTAACAGCGTGAAGTTAGAACGACGACGCAATAACTTGACAAGTCGGACAAACACGCAAAGAAAAGAAAGGCGCACGAGGACTTGAGGCAGGAAGGATCTAATCAAGGAGGGTAATATCAACAGAGCGAAATGAAATGTTGTATTTAATACCAAATAAGGGATTATACCATAAAAGTAACGCAATTTCCGATTCAATAAATTTCGTGGCACCCGTTCCGCCAACTGAATTTCTATAAATACAGTAGAAATTAGTTGTTGCTGATTCATCATCATTCGTACATTCTTGCGTATGCTCACAATATGCTAATACTCAGGTGGTTTTCTCTATTATGGCTACTGATACAAGCCACGGTACTAAGCGAAGGAACTCAGCTTCAATCGAAAGTGAAGGAGCTGTATCCATCAAAGACTCTGAGCATTTGTTCCGTGAGTATCCGAAGATATTTGAATGAGCGTTTGGTCATTGAAGAGGCGACCGCGAACTTGAGGAGGGGAAAGGATAGCCAACGTTTTCTGTTTGTGCACGTGGTTAGACAAATTGCTGGCGGAAATACATTCTCATAGAGACCAATGTTTCTTTTTGCATCCTAGCCCTCGGGTTTAATAAGCGACGCTTGTTGTACATTTGAAACAATAGAGGAAATAAACGATCGATTATCTGTGCGTCTTCACGATCTGGTCCAGACGGATTTCTTCAAATACTACAAAGTAAATTATCGATCATTCATTTTTTTCTTATTATTGCCCGGTTTTCTTTATGAAAGTCATCAGTCTTCTCACAGCTTCTTTTTTGATCAAATCGCGTATCGTAGTTAAACCTTTTCAAAGAATGTCCGTTCTGGATAGAGAACGGCCAATGTGTGAACGAGGCATGTGCTGTGGAAACAATTGATGAGGTAGCGTGATTTTGGTATAAGCATAGGAATAATCGCTTTGATCCGTTGACATGCATACTATCATTTCGTAAAAATAGTCGAACGTACCTGAAATGTGGCGGAGCAACGTTCTTGGTGCTCTACAGACCTCAGCCTCTGGTTCGGTAAGGTGTAATGATCATTCGATATGATGCGCGTCCTAGCTCTTAACGTTTACCCTTCCACATATTACTATTATTAGCTTTTCCAACCATTTAAAAGTTGCGAGTTCAGAGAACAAGATTTCTGTGTAGTTGAAGATGAGAATGATAGAGGTGCTTTTTTTTTTTTCTCTTTTGAGCGGATCATCGGCAGCTTGGAATTTTATGATCTTTTATTTATCATGAATATTGTATAGACGGTACTTACGTCGACCTACTCGATAACCCGGAGCGCTTTACTGGTTACGCTGGCCCGTCAGCGGGACGCATCTGGAAATCCATATACGAAGAGAACTGTTTTAATATGGTCGATAGAATGGATTCCAAAAGTAATCTTCCTGGCATGACACTAGTCAATTTGGATAAATATGCTGCATTAAGACCTAATATTCAGGATCAGATTGAAATTGAAGTAGATGATACCTGTTTTGAAAAGAGGGTTTATTATCGACTGATTTCTGGTGAGTTTATATTGGGTGTTGTCGAAAACACTTGTACCAGATCGGTATGCTAGAACGCGATAATTTGCATTACAGGGCTTCATTCTTCTATATCGATACACATATGTAATGAATATCTCAACCAAACGACGGGAGTATGGGTAAGACTTGTGCACTTTTTTTTGAAATCACTTTTCAAAAATTACCTTCTCCTTGTATTGTTTGTCAATTGTACTCATTTTATTTATATTTCTCAGGGTCCAAATTATGACTGCTTCAACAAACGCATTGTCCCTTATCCCGAAAGATTACAGAATACTTATTTTGGTTATGTTGTCTTGCTAAGAGCAATCTCCAAAATGTCTGATTACTTGAAGAATTATGAATTTTGTACCGGCCATACAGAGCAAGATGCGCAAGTTAAATCCATGGTTACTGATTTGGTGAATACGGCAACTTCTTGTCCTGGAACCTTTGATGAGAAACTCATGTTTAGTTCCCCAAATTCCAGAGTAAGTATATATATATATATTTTTTACGTATGTATGCAAATGATTTTCTGGGTGTATTAATTGAATTTGTTAATACTCGTATCAGATTTTGAAAGAGGAATTTAAGGAGAGATTTAGAAACGTATCGAGGATAATGGATTGCGTCGGATGTGATAAATGCAGATTGTGGGGCAAACTACAAGTATCTGGGCTAGGAACGGCATTAAAAGTTTTATTTTCATATGACGATGAATTCTTCAAGTATGTATACTCAATTTAAAAAAGCGGAGATTTGGTTCGACTTTGTTATGGTACTGCAGGTAGTACATAGGATATTGTTCATGAAACGTATAATAATACTACTACAGTTTTGTAACAATGGGCGGATTAAATCTACCGCAAATTTCGACAGAATATCGGTAGACGTTGTCGGGTAAATGTGTTGAGAATTTTGCAACTAACTTCATATTCAACGCAATTATAGTCCAAAAGTGAACCCCAATTTATTGACACGTACGGAAATCGTGGCTTTATTCAACGCGTTCAACCGATTTTCAGAGAGCTTGAAGATTGTCAAAGAATTTAGAGAACTATATAAACGAGTTAACGTTAACAGTCAGAAATCCGTTCCTCCACCGCCTCAGGTATTTGTTACCTCAATTGCGTCCTTTCCTCGTTGATGGTGATTCACACGGTTTTATTTTAGCCTGTCAGTTCGCCAAAGTTGGCAACCTCAGCAAATGCTTCGCAGGACCCGTCATCGGATAACCAATTTGTGATTAATTTAATATTATCACTACGAGATATGATTTCGCCGTACATAAAGAGACTATCCGGTTTGTTTTCCGTAAGTTAACTAGACCATAGAAATTGACTCGCTACCGGTGGACATTAATTTTCTGTAAATAGAAGAAACATTTTGCTTTGTTTATTTCAACAGTAATGAACTTTAGAACTCGGTAAGCTTTATTATTAATATTGGAACAAAATATTTGTATGAACGTCTGATCTATAGAAATGTCTTGTATGTAGACATAAAGCTACCAAGTACATAATAATATTTGATATTACAATATAATAGATTACTTTTCAAAATTTGGTTTTTTTTATAAAGTTATATTAATCAATAGGTAAATTCTATACAAAAGTTCTCTCATTACTCCCATCCATTTGTCACTGTCCGAGCGCAACCGAGGATAATAACTCTGCGTGTATGACATTCAGCGCCATATCGGCATTGCATTCATCAATAACGCATGAGATGTTAATCTCTGATGCACCTTGCGAAATCATCTCAATGTTTATTTGAGCAGCTGCAAGAGTATTAAACATTTTGCCAGCGATACCGACCATATTCTTCATCTGCTTCCCAACCAGACTAAGTATAGCCAGTTTCGGAATAACGTCGACCTGAGAGCCAAACCATGAAAAACAAAAGCATTGTATTAAAACATGTCGGCTTTGATGCAAAGATGAATGACAACAATGATGGTTGGCGGTGAAGATATAATAAGCCGTACCTTTCCCAAAGCGTTTAACTCTTTTAACGCTTTACCTAGATCTTGTTCAGCTGCTACATCTACAAGAGCCATAGATACATGAACCTCGCTTGTCGAAATCAAATCCACGACAATTCCATACTTATCCAAGGCAGCAAAGATGCTTGCAAAGAAACCATGACTCATGATCTTTCGATGAGAGTGAATGTTTAACACAATGATGTTATTCTTTATGGTAACCGCAATTGGATGACGTCTTGTCATGTCCGAATAATAGCCATTCTCGCTGAAAAGCTTGGTCATACTTTTTCCAAGAGGGGACAAGTCCCTATTCATCACATCTGGAAATATAACAGTCCCGTCACCATCTGGATTTTGTATATTCTTAATACGGATGGGAATACTTGCTCTTATCGCTTGATTCATAGTGAACGGATGAATGACTTCGGAGCCATAGTAAGTCAACTCGGCCGCCTCTTCGGGAGTGATGACAGGAAGCAATCTTGCGGTGGGCACTTTACGCGGATCTGCGGTAAATATGCCATCGACTTCTTTCCATATTTGGAGCTCTTCCGCACCAACGCCGACTGCTAATAAAGCGGCACACAAGTCTGTATACCCACGACCAATACTACAAAGTATGCTTCCTGGTACTTGGCCAAAAAAGCCTACATACAAAAAAAGGAGGAACATGTTGAATGAGTAATCATATCTAATGTTATAGTCTAATGTTAAATGTAAATGGTATGTGGTTCTTACCAGTCACTACGGGTACGCGATTACCACATTCCTTTATTCTTTCGGCCATTCTACTGGTCAAGTCGTCATAGAATTCTTGATCAAGGTTAGCCGTATCAAAATCTTGACTAATGATATTACCCAAGTCAACAAATTCAGCATCGACACCCTGGTATTATTTATAATGGTCAGATAGCAACAAAACTACATCAAGTAAAACCGAGCAAGAAAGAAAAAACACTCACTCTATCACGTAGTAGTGCGGTAACAATGCGACAAGACAGCTTCTCTCCCATGCCGATGATGATATCTTTCGACCTTGGGGTTAGTTCGTTTATAACCTGCAACAAACACGAGTTTTGAGATCAGTCACTATTCTCTCGCAATATCAAATGTTTTGATAGTGTACGTGCCATATATCTACCCTTGTTGCCCCAAGGAACTTTTCTAATCTAGTACATTCTTCTCGCAGACTATTATTCAAATCTGTTAGTACGTAGGCATTGCTGATCAAATTGGATGCCGCGTTAAGATGATCTTCGAGGATATCATTAACGATATCGATAAAGCCGGTTGAATTCGACGTCAGGGCTTCCTTCGCAGCCTGAAGAAGTCTGCGGGATCGAATACGGGTAAGCGAAGCGGCAAATCAGATAGAGGCTGGAAAAATACTCCTGACATACCTATTCGTAGTTCCTAACGCTTTGGTTTCACCACTTCTTGCTGAGCATACAAGAATCGTTCTATGGTTTTCTAGATGGGATCTATAACATATGCACTTTTTATTATCATTTTTTTTTTACCAAGGATTGATCATAAATATACCACATATAAATAATGTATGCATATATATACTTTGCTACTTTCTCGACTATGGTTTCTGAGAATTTTCCTACGGTTGTCCCGCCAAATTTTTGAACTACCCAGGGTAACACATCTCGGTTGACTAAGAGATCTTGTTCTAGCGGGGTTGGGCTTGGTGTAAGAGGTGGCATGGCAATGTCCTTATTATTATTATGTGCAGCTTTTTTTTTTTTTTACGATAGAGATGGATATCAAAGTAGATGCACGTGTTTTGTGTAGCAATGATGAATAGAATCTGCACCAACAAAGCGCGTCTTGCAAAAACACCAAATTCAGCCTGTCTCCAAAGTCGATAGCCATCGCGTCATCCAAGTCTTTCAATGCTGTGATAGCCATCTTGTCTGTAGTGTCATTTCCAAGTGCCCATTTGCTTGATTATAATTATCGGATGTAATAGGAATGTATTCATAATTTTCGTTTGTAAATATGTGGCGTTCAACGGTTTTTGGGACAATTTGTATTTGTATGTGGCGTATTATTATCATCTAATCGTGCAACTTTTAATCGTGTATAGTAATAATGATATATCACGTGATTATTGAAGGGGGAGAATCCCTTTATTAATCCCACGATTGTGACACATATATTTTACCATATTTGATAAAGGAATATAAATGCAGCGTGTAACATCGACTTAACGCATCCCTGATTTCTCTCCCAACGATGCCTCTAGAGAATACTTCTATGAACATATTCTCTTCATATTTGAACTCACCTCGCATAGCAACGTTAAAGAACATTATATTTATCCTATTTGTATATTCTTATGTATCTAGAATTATTAATAAACTCGCAGTCCAAGGCGTCCGTCGTACTCTATGGGATGGCTATAGGCTGATAGGTGGGATGATATTTAGAGCTATCTCCAAAGCACCTGGAGCTAGTAGAAAAATACAAGCAGAGATGGATAAAGCGATCAAATATATCGAGGAGAAAGTCGCTCCAAATAAGCCCGGTGAACCGCGATACCTTGCTTTACCAGATACCGGACTGGATGAAACGAAGCTTAAACAGGAGCTTATTCGGTTGATGTCGCGTTTAGCTTGAGTACCAAGTATGATATTCTCCGAAAACTCATTGATTAACTATTTGAACACATGTATTTAGGTATCAGGCCATGGGTAATATTAATTGGGAAGAAGGTCGCGCCTCGGGAGCAGTATATCACGGCGGACGTGATTTCTCCCAACTCACCAGCGAAGCGTCTGCAATGTTTTCCGTGACCAATCCTCTGCATCCTGACATATTTCCGGGCGTACGTAAGATGGATGCCGAAGTCGTGTCAATGGTTCTGAATGTATATCACGCACCGAAGGGAGCTGGTGGAACCACTACTTCTGGCGGGACAGAGAGTATATTCATGGCGTGTAAAGCTTATCGTGATTGGGCAAAGGCCGTCAAAGGAATAAGCGAGCCAGAAATGTAAGTGGGGATCGATTAATGACCCCAGTTTACGTAAGAAAATCGCTAAATTTGGAGAGTTTTTATTTCTAGGGTTGTTCCCGTTACTATACACGCAGCATTTGACAAGGCAGCATCTTATCTTGGCATTAAAATGGTGCACACACCGATTGATCCAGTTACTTGTAAAGCAGACATCAAAGCTATAAGAAACGCTATCAACCGGAATACAATAATGGTAAAGCCTCATGAACTGGGCACTCCACCGCAGAGAGAGCATGTCTGCATCTCCGTTATCAATTGGACACTCATTGCTATTCACATGTCATAATAGATCGCTGGATCAGCTCCAAATTTTCCGCACGGCATAATTGATACTATACCGACGCTTGGTCGAATTGCAAAGCAACGGGATATTGGGCTGCATGTCGATTGTTGTCTTGGAAGTTTCCTAGTCCCTTTCCTTGAGGAGGCTGGCTATCCGTCTGAGCCGTTTGATTTCCGGGTAGATGGAGTTACGTCAATATCATGCGATACTCATAAGGTGAAATTCTTGTTTGGAAACCTCCTTGTTTGTTTCTTTTTGTTGTCCTTGTTTCGCCCTGGGCATTGCCATCTTATATTTTTTCCTTTATTCGTATCAGTATGGGTTTGCTCCCAAGGGTTCATCGGTTATAATGTACAGAACAAAGGCCCTTCGTAAATATCAGTACTTTTTTGCTCCGGAATGGACTGGCGGTATTTATGCTTCTCCATCGATGGCCGGGTCACGGTTAGTATGTCTGAAGGCAACATTTTCAATAGTGTGAAGATGATTTTGAGACACGAAAATGACCTGCATCTTTACGTCAAATCTAGGCCTGGTTCCTTAATTGCGGGATGCTGGACTGCAATGATGAAAATGGGAAGGACGGGATATGTGGATGCTACTAAAAGTATCGTTGGATGTGCTAAGAAGATTGAAGCTGGGTAATGTAACCATATTTACAGTATTTGTTCATCACTTTGAAAACTGCCGTTTTTTAACCATTATTATTTCGACATATAGTATTCATCAAATGCCCCAATTGTTTGTGTACGGCAAACCATTGGTTTCTATCGTGGCTTTTGGATCTCGGACGCTTAACGTGTATACGCTTGGTGACGTGCTCACAGAGAAAGGATGGAGTCTCAACGTCCTTCAAAATCCACCAGGCATTCACATCGCATGTACGCTGTTAACTGTTCCACATGCTGATAAGTTTTTAGAGGATCTCAAAGACGCCATTTCCGTCGTTGAACAAAAGCAACGCAATGGTGAGAAAGCGAAAGACACTGCCGCTATTTATGGGATGGCTGCAACGTTACCTGACACCAAACTTGTTAACGATGTTGCTGCAAGCTTTTTGGACGCTTTATACAACGCGTGAAAAGTGAACAATAACTATCACTTTCTATTAATACCAATCAGGCGCTATGCTTATTTTTGTTACATTACCAATGTTAAATTATTCAAAAGCCCAGACGATTAAATATAACTTAATTATCAATAGTGAGGTGTAGTTGTACCATCTATACATATATCACATTAAAAGTCATACGCAAGATACGCAAGGCATTCCATTATTCATTTCAATGGATACATTATTTCCAGTATCTCTGGTCGAATTATCCCTCGTTCAGCTCGTTCACAAGCCATTAATGAAATTTGATTATCAGGTAATTCGAGGACTCGCGTACAACAAACAAACCGCTTTACTGGTCTTGGACATTAAAATTTGCCATTTTCGGTTATAGACTGATGGCGTTAAAAAACTGGCCATTCTACCTACCAGATAGTTTTTAGGTGACCATTTAATGAATTTACAATTTTTCGCTTCGTATCGCGTACTTAAAAGATACAAAGTGCTAATAACAGTAAAAACTATGTTCACATACAATTTGAACATTTTGCCAAAGGAAAGATTATTGTATTGCCATAACAATCTTTATCCTATTACATGTCCTTCTTAATCGTGCTGATAACGTGTTGTGTATAAACTTGAAAGTAGCAAATTATTTAAGACATACTAATACTACATTCTTAATATTAAGTGGTTCATAAAACAAGCATCAAACTAGAAATGCGGATTCAACATACTAATACACATATTAATGCCCGACAGTTAAAACTTCTAACTAACTAAACAGCTCATTTACATGTGCTAACACGCAATTGACAGCCATATTAAAAGATCGGCGTCAATTATTCCTGAACTCGATACATTCTGAACGAGAGGTCACAATAAGAGGCGGGTGTACCAACTTCGCACGCATCGTGAGATGGCATTATCCACAACAACGTTCTCAGTTTCGACAGCAAAGAGCTTTTCTTTAGTAGGAGATGTATATACGAATACACATCTTGATAATAAAAATTTACAGCCATATCCAGCCATTATATTATGCCATGGGCTAGTACAAACTCGTCAGAGTAAATCACTGCAAGTAATAATCGAAGCAATCGCCAATACATCAGGTCTTGAAGATTTACGAATAATCACGTTTGATTTCCAGGGATGTGGAGAGAGTGGTGGCGAAACAAGTAAGAGGCTAACAGACTTTGAGGAGAAAAAAACAAGAGGTATCGAGCGCTTACTGTCATTACAATGATGTGCGTCAGGTTACGGGAATTACAACGAAGAAGCTGAAAACCTTGAAACCATTATTCGGTTTGCAAAAAACAATCTTAATTTTCGTATAATTGGAACTCTCGGCCATAGCAAGGGCGCGGCAGTTGTGCTATTGCACGCAGCAACGTATCTGGACTCTACGCTCCCCCTCGTAATCAATGTCTCGGCACGCTTTGATCATAGTGAGACTCCAGTAGATCGGTTTACCTCCGAGATGATGACTTCTCTTAATGAGAAAGGGTCATTTATATTGACGTACGATAGTAATAGTAAACCCTATATAATCACCGCCGAAGATATGCGCGCACGGAACAGCTTAGATATGACTGTTGTCAAGAATATCAAGAACAGTACAAAAGTATTGACTGTGCATGGAGATGCGGATAACGTTTGTCCAGTAAAAGGAGCATACGAGTACGATCGGCTGCTTGGTGATAGGCATAAATTAGTAATTGTGAAGAACGCAGGACATCGTTGGTGTCAAACTTCAGCCGAAATTGAAGAACTCGGACAAACTGTTGTGGGTTGGATTAAGGAAAATTGGCAGTGGGCCATAGAGAATGCATGAAGTACCAACTTTGTTATTCGATCGTATGTTAGGCTTTTGAAGTTCCTCGGAATTGTCTCAAAACAGATCACAATTAATCATTATTATTAAAGCCTTAGCAGACATCGTAAGAATTAACTTTCAATTTTTAAATTGAGCTGTTGTCTATTAAAAGTGGCTCTCGATATAAGAAAGTGATCAGGACCCGCCAAATTCCTTTCTTATATCGAAAATTTCTTATGTTGAGAGTCTCTTGTTATAAGACAGTCCTTAATTAACGGGAATAAAATTTTCTTATAGCAAACCTTTATTTACACAAGATATCTGTCTAGAGTTACTTGTCTTTTACATTTAATACGTCTTTTTCAAAACGACATAGCCTTTGAATAAAAGACCCATCTACCTTAACATCGTTGTTTGTTTGATTGATTGATAAAACGGAGAATAATATTGAAGTTACTGATAACTTCACTATGAGAAATACTTTCGTTATACTCTTCTTCTTCTTACTATTGTGTACTGCTTCAATTATTTCACTATCACTAGGCATGCTTTCATTGATTTAAAAGGCATCATCGATTCATTCGCTGGTAATGGCATATTTATAGGCAGTTGGTCAATAAGGAATTGAAGTTCCTTTGTAAGATCTACAGTATTGTCTAAATTAAGAAATTTTTCGGTTGGCTCATGATAAATCGGCGCCAGATTAGTATTAAAGTAAAAATAGTGTGATTATTATTATTATCTAATAATGTGTTAAAGGATGTGCGCGCGTTATGCAGAAGTCTCACAACATTCTAAAATAGGAAATGTTTAGTGTTACTCATCTACACAGTGAAACCATCGATATAACGGACCGTTAATAAAACGGACTTTTTCTCTGGAACGGAATTTGTTTACTAAATAATATCTGATATAAAACTCACAAATCGATATTACGGACCCGTCGGCATTACGGATTAAAACGCTGGTCCCGAACAGTCCGTTATATCGACTTTCACTGTGTATATCGAGAGAGACTTTCTTATAACGATAAAATCTCGGCACAAACTTTCTTGTATAAAGAAAATTTTTTAGTAAAAATTAAAATCGGGACCAGCCAAAAAGCTTTCTTATATCGAGAGTCACTTGTATTAGAAAGTCTTCTTGAAATAATTACTAGAAATTCTATATACACCCCCGTATTCGTCACTTTTGTTTCGTGTGTCCTTTATTAAGCACAGCTAATACTAATACAGACTCTAGAGCTTGCGTGTTCGTCACTTTTTTGATCTACACTCAGTGGAAAAAAGTCACCGGACACTTTATTTGTTTTCAAAATGGTGCGATCATCACAAAATAAAAAAAAAAAAATTTTTTTTTGAAAGACGACTATAAAAACGTGACTACAATCTACCAATAGAATTTAAGGAGAAGAGTGTTACACAATAACAAATTCTATTGGTAGATTGTAGTCACGTTTTTATAAACATTAATGCAAAAATGGGACCCACACACCTCTCAATACACTCGTGAACACGTCTAGGCATACTATCGATCAACTTCTTATAGTTTTTCCTGGGAATAGTTTCCCACTCTTCTTTTAATACTAATGCCACATATAATTCGTGCTTATTTGCGGGGCGTAAATTTCGTTTTCGTGCTCTTCTTTGTAGTTCACCCCATAAATTCTCAGTAGGGTTAGATCAGGTGATTGTGCGGGCCACTTTGAGAGAATCTTAACCTGTTTCTGAGACATCCAGTCCTTTGTGTCTTTGGCAGTATGGATGGGCGCATTATCTTGTTGGAAAAAATAACAGCGATGATTGAATTTCTTGTGAATCCATGGCAATAAGTTGTTTTCCAAAATTTGTATATATCCAAAGCGATTTAATTTGCCTTCTACTAGTACAAAGGACCCAATCCTGTCCCACAAAACATCCCCATACCATCACGCTACCTCCATCATGCTTTACTGTAGGTACAAGATTTTCCGGGAATCTTTTACCATTTTCTCTCCAGACACGCTGTGGGCCATCACTAAAGAGATAAAACCTGGATTCATCACTCCAAATAATTTTATTCCATTTTTTTATTGACTGATTGCCCTCTTCTGAAAGTGTAATAATTTTGCACGTTCACATTCAATAAGTTCTCTTCTATTCTTAACTGAAAGCTGGTTCTAATTTTCGCGCCATTTTTACGTAATGAATAAGAGAGATCGAAGAAAACTTTGTCATTAATTGACTTTGTTTACATCAATATTCGCGACTGTTACACTATAGAATTATTTAAACTATTTATGGTAAAAAATCACAATCATTTTATTATACATTATCCCGAGCAGTATTTGAATATATAAAGTGTCCGGTGATTTTTCGAAATCCATTTGTTATAAACTTTTTATTTATAATACTAATACATCATGGAATTGCCTTCACTGTTAATTACAGCTTTAACTCTCTGAGGCATGCTATTTACTAAATTCTTTCCTCCTCTAAAACTGAAATGAGCTTGTGTTCATGCAATTTTCTTCCAATATGATCCCACAAACCGAAGGACAGAATTTTTAAATTTTAAGTTGCCTCTCTTCATTTTTTTTATTTGGCTCCTATCATTTTTTTTTGCAGCAGCAGGCTTTTTTTCTAAAAAAAGAAAGACACTGAATTTTTTAAAACTTTGGGTTATATCCGCTCTTAATTTCTGGTCCTCGCAGGGACAGAATGCTCAATCGGATTGAGATCCGGGCTCTGAGCGGCCAGGGAAGAGAAGATATCAAATGTTCTTCTTTCCAGGCAAGTACTCAGTTAGCTCTATTACTATGACTGCCCATAACCAATGATAATTGATGTGATGTCATTAATATTAAGTGTAAATAGTGATCGTACAGAAAAAATTTTTTTTGTTCATTATCGTTACATGCAGTGAGAATGAAAGTCAAAGGTGAGAATTCTTTCACTGAGTATTTGTTGAATGGTTATTGTGTTCAAAGCTACGCTGCCACTAAGCAGAAATCGGAGAATTGAAAGCGCGTCGCGGCCGCAGCTTGCGAAAGTCACCAGTCAGGTAACCTGCTGTAAGTGGTGTGACTGTAGGGGGTCTGACTTTTTCATATAATTTTTATCATCTACTGCACGAATTAAGCAAGCTCCCCACAATCCTCTAAATGTTTAAAAGACTTTGTAGAAAGAAATCTGATTATGTTATTATTTACTTTAGCCACGACAACATAAACAGCCCAATTTTCACCAACATGAACCAAGGTTTACAACAAGAAACGGCATTGGTAACCAACTTCCCAAACTTGGACATTTCGAGAGCCTTGGCGACAACCAAAACAACGATAAACGACAGAATTGATGCATTGAACAACAGAATTGATACCATGGAGACTAGATTAAACGCTAGATTCGATAGCATGTATGTTTTTTTTTTGTTTATATCATGAATAAGAAATGTAAGTAATAATTGTACTTCTTATATTTTAGGAATACAAGAAATCTCGCACGCGTACTAAATTTGCGTATAACCGATCCATATGAAACATTGGAAGTTGTTTCAAATACGACTGGCAATATACCGCAAAATTACCCACAAACAGTTGCCGCGCTTCGCGCAATGACACGTATGTATCCTGGCACAATCTGAACTTTATAATAATTAAAATTATTTTACTAAACTAATCATTTATAAAGGTCAAAATATAAACGCTCTCTTGAACTTTTATCAATTACCAAATGCTGGAACAGTTGAAACTAAACGCATACACTTTGCGAGACACCTAGAAATTCAGCTATTGTAATCAGACCAACGCCGGCCTCGAAATACAATGACCGCTACTAATTGCTATCACTATGATTCTTAGAATTTCTCCTCCGTTCTACATAAATTGAAAAATTTACATGGCTGTTCTTTATGGGCTACTTACTTAATAATGATCTTTTCAAATTGGATATCAAAAGACATCCCTACTACTAAAGTGAACCACACCCGATTTATAATTGATTATATCGCCATGGCATAAAGGTCGAATCGGTAAACCAAGCCGTATAAGGACTATCGTACACGGTGCGGAGCTAGTGGTGAGAAACTGTTTGTAGCATTATTCTTGAGTTGAACGCAAACGAGCGGGTGGCGGAAAACGAGAATTGCAGTATACCTTCAATCGATCTAGAATTTCCAACGCTTTGCAAGATAACTCGTCATCCATGGATATTCCCTGCAACCAAAAACACATAATTGTCCCGCCATCTGCTTTAACTTTAAAGAAACACCAGAAATGTATCCCACCAACCAGAAAAATAGAATTAACTCCATCCAATATATTACCCGCTCCTACTTTACAGATGGGATACGAGAACAAACCTAAGCACCAGATCTAGATGATCCGAGGTTTGAAATTGACAATTCAGTTAGTGATAAATCCCAAATCCACCCATAAATGACAAACCTAAATCTTGCAACACGAAGTAACTACATCCCATCCCAGCAAGTGTTATTGTCTTCTGGATATTTAACCCGAGAATAACGCCAGTGAAGATCTATGACTGGGCTATAACTAAGAAAGAATACCTGATAGATTGATCTTGATGCAGAAATAATGGATCATTTATATGTCTAAGCTGGAGATGGTAAGTGAATAGATTTGGAACGTATTTCCGCTCAGTGGTACAACATCTCCGGCCTTGCAATACAGTCGAAATTTGCAGATCAATTCTAGAATATTCAGAGCGTATCTCGAAATATGATTGGTTTAAATGTAGAGATCACTCTTCCGGGTATATAGCTTCATAATCCATCGCGATCCACGCAACTTTGCAAAGTAGTTTCTTCTCAATTCAAGTTTTAGAATTACGTTTTGTTACACAACGACTATTATAATGAGTTCGAAAGCAAAGCCAAGCCCTACCTTGTATAGTCAACTCTCTTTCCAAGGAATATCATGATAATCAATTAGTGCAATGTGAAACTAAAGAGAATCAACGATGGAGACATACATCGGCTACTGCAGACAGTTATTAGATGTCCAACAAGATCGTGTTAAGTTGGTAATGGAGATTGCAAAAGGGAACGAGGTAATGCAATGATATAATGAGTTTAACTGAAACCAAGAGCAATTTGGTTTATATAGCCTTTTATAGTATTCTCCTTCTAAATGGCTTTCGGAGCGAAATCCGGTTATTGAAAACGAGCATCAATGTGAAGGAGAAAAACTTTTCAAGTGTGCCGTAGCAGTTAATTTATATGTATATAATATTAGTATTGTGGTTGGTACATTCATCGTTATCGCATCTCGTCTCTATCGTCCATCATCAGGCTTGTGCACGCAATATCTACACGTAGCTTATAACAGGCTCTCGATTATCGAAATCAATGCTGACAGAACATAAGGGCATTATTTAGTGCGATGTTCATTTGCAAAACAGACTCTGAATAATAATTCCTGCTTAAGACAACCTTTCTCTATTGCGTGTTTTCGATTTTGGCTTCTAGTTTAGCGATTTGCGAAACGGCACCAAATTTATTATTAGTGTTACACAACCAAATGTAAGCCATTTTCGGTTACAATGCTTGGGGTATCTCAGATTATTACGGAGCAGAAAAATATCCAGTTGTGAACAGAAAAAAACAACCGGAGAGACAAAAATGCAATGCAAACTACATGTCGTAGGAGGATATTTATAAATTTAATTAAATTACCATGCTTGCCAGTATGATGTCGAATTCAGATGCCTTCCATATGCACCACTCGCTATCGGGTTATGTAGCAAGTACTCTCTTCACAAACAAATAATATGAGTATTGTGACATCATATCAAGCACAAGGAAGAATGTTTAAAGAATTCAGCCATTGTTATATACAGTAAACCACATAATGCATCTTATTCACGGACAACTTTTTGTCGGTCGTGGAGATTCGATATGTATACGCTCAACGCATTCCGCTTTACATCTAGTGGTAGCGTAACTTCGAAACAATAGCCACTCAGCATAATATTCAGTACCTTATTTAATATTCTCTGATCCCTCGGGTTTGTCGGACGCCTTCTTGATTATTCGTTCCCTATAGTGGTTGAGTTATCACTTCACTAAACAGGGCTTTTAGTATTTCTCCTCCTCGGCATTCCAACAATTTTTAGAAGCATTCATAATAGAAGTTTGGGAGAAATTTTAATTTTTGGTCTTCTTCTTGGCTTTTGCCTTTGTCATTAATAAGTTATAGTTAGTGACATGTTATTGCTGTTGTACATCGAGTCAATCATTATTGTCACCTATAATAAGAGCATGAGAAGAGCAGGCATTTGATTCTTTATTTGAGAGCAAGTTTTTTAAGAGTAGTTATTGCGAGAGGAGTAGAGTAAATGTACTCCGATACTTTACGCATCCCCTCCACATTCGCAGTTTCATACATTTTATTTATGGTGGGTCGCTATATCAGTTTATATAATGACACGTGTACTTGCTACCCAATGTTGCGTTATTTATAATGACAAGGCGCGTTTTATTATAATACTATTACTTTGGTCAACGACATTAATTTGTTGATTGTTCAATCTCATATATCTCTGAATTGCGTCATAATTTTACGCGAAGAGCGCTCAATATAAATAGTGATAAAAAGCAAGGTCAACTCTAGCTGTAATTTTTCCCAATGAAGCAACCATATTACTATATCCTGCGCAGCTCCAGCAAGGATTTCTAAATTAGATATTGCAATCGTTGCCTACATCGGGATTAGCCTGCGCTTACACGAACATTTAGACAATTACCTAGTGGCGCAACACTATTCAGATAACCAGTAGCGCGACTTCCTTCTTTTTTAGTAAACGAGTAGTTCCCTCTATCGGTTAAGGATATTTTATACTTGTTCCTGGTGGCATTACGTCTAAGTAAATAAATAATGTAATTTAGATAGCAATAGAATAAATAACTCCAAACCTATAGACTTCCACAGTCGAGGCCGACATAGTAAGCGAGGATTAGTGTCGACAAATAGACACTTGGTTGTGAGTAGTTAAAGCTTGGTTTAAAAATTTACCAACTCTTGAATTGAAATTAATCGAGTAGGACTTCGTTAAATCCCAAGGTCAATTGTCGTGACCAATCGCAATCTCTTACTACGCTTGCTATATGTATAGTACCTTTCCTCGAAAATACCCTACAACAATCGGACAACCTATGTACACGTTCCCAATGCCTGCCTGGGTCAGCATTCCAACGATTTTATCTTTCTTCTTCGAACTTATTCCTAAACGCCCGTTCCAGCTGTCCAAAGCGAGTCATTCTCTTTTCGCATTTGCATATATTTATTACTTGCCATTATGGGTTAGGTCAATAGTTGACGACAATACGTATAACAGGTCCGTGCCTTTAGTTTGTCGACTGGCTAACAGTTGGCTGGAGCTTATATAATTTCTTTTCACTTGAAAACCCAGTGACGATGAAACGAACGAATTAATCCAGAGGTATGCGGAATTGAGTCTATCACAAACCCACATTAAAAATTATGCAATTCACCGGAAACCGATTTGTGAGGTTTTATTATTGTGAAAAAGACATGACATGTTGTCCAAATATTTACACATTCGACCATCTAATTCACCCTTTACGTCAAAAGCAGTTACTAGAGGAGGAAACTGATATCGACAGCAAATCCGACGATATTATCTCATCGTATTCGCCGAGTTGTAAGAGGGGGGGTTTTTTAGCTGTTAGCCACTGTACAAGCCGCTCTTTTCAATCAATTATTACGGCTCCAACACATGATAACCATGGAGCGCAGTAACCGGATACCTCCTCCCGCTCCGTTAGCTAACAAGGTAGGACGTCAGCTTAGACACACGTGTATCTGACTTAGAAATGTACTCGAATAGCCTGATCCAGAGTCGACTCGTTGGGGCAATACGGGCACTTAAACCGACTATGAAGCAGTAGATTGAGGCTTAGTTCGAGGCAGAATATATCCCTGTATTAAATACGACCAATCTTACCTGTTTGCTTTGCTCAATTTATTTAACGACTCTTTGCAAATGACATGTCCACATGGCATCATCATAGGCGGATTCTCTTCTGTAGATTGTTCCTTTGATACGGGGCATGCGAATATTGAATGATATCGCATATCATCAGGGAGAGGAATCTCGACTGGTAGTTCATCTTGTTGACTCCATTCGTTCTTTTTCTCTTTCATTATTGTAGCCATTTTAATAATTGTAGGAAGCGCCATTGCCCCAACCGTCACGCTGAAAGAAGATGCGGCGGTTTCGTTAAAAGTTGGGAACTCGGAATCAGAAATAGGAGGCGGGCTATATATACCTTATAAAGAGCGGACTCTCCCAAGACATTCCTAATAGGCTACAAAAGTCTCTTGTGAATTGGTGCTGAATGTCCGTCCATGCATCGGGAGATAATAGCTCGGCGTAAGGTGACGAATTTAAATTATTAAAGTACACCATAGAACCCATGAGGCGTTGGATTTCTAGTTGAAAAGTCATAGCAAATAGTTGGATCAATATACAGAGTTTAGAAAGGTGTGTGATTTGGTTAAGGGATGTTTGTATGATACCTGCAAGATGTCTTTCTTGGAAATAATGGAAATTCTTTCTTGCATATATTATTGCTTCCTCGCTACGTTGATTTGTAAGAAATTGCACAAAGTGGAGACGATGGAGTTGAAATTCTAACGAACTCCCCCGTCGCTCAAGTTCTTCTCTCTTGGATCGGGCCCATCTGCCAGTAGGGTTTATAAACAGATTTAGTATCGTCTTTATAGTCGACGCTTCTATAAAACGCAATGTTCCT